ATTTATTTATTTGACAGAGAGACACAGCGAGAGCGGGAACACAAGCAGGGAGAGTGGGAGAGGGAGAAGCAGGCTTCCCGCTGAGCGGGGAGCCCGATGCGGGGCTCGATCCCAGGACCCTGGGACCATGACCTGAGCAGAAGGCAGACGCCCAATGACTGAGCCACCCAGGCACCCCAGATAGTATACCCCTCTAATATCATTTTTTTCTGTACAGGTCTTGTGGATATAGATTTATTCTTAGGTATATATTTTTAAAAGATTTTATTCTTAGGTATATTATACTTCTTTTGTCAAGTTTTAAATTTTAGTCATCCTGGTGGATATCCTAGAAGGTATCTCATTTTGGTTTTAATTTGTATGTCCCTGTTGAAAAAAATCTGTTGGACAATTTTCTTTTTTCCTTTTTTTTTTTTTGAGAGAGAGAGAGCACGGTGGGGAATGGGTAGAGAGCTAGGGAGAGAGAGAGAATCCCAAGCAGGCTACAGTCCCAGCACTGAACCTGATGTGGGGATTGACCCTGAGATCACAACCTGAGCTGAAACCAAGAGTCAGATGCTTAACAGACTGAGCTACCCAGGCACCCCATTTATTCATATTTTTATTGGCCATGTACATATCTTCCTTCGTGAAATGTCTGTTCAAGCCTTTGTCCACTTTTTTTAAGATTTTATTTTTATTTTTTAAAAGATTTTATTTATCTGACAGAGAGAGCAAGCACAAGCAGTGGGAGGGGCAGGCAGAGGGAGAAGCAGGCTCCTCGCTGAGCAAGGAGCCCAATGTGTGACTGGATCCCAGGACCCTGGGATCATGACCTGAGCCGAAGGCAGACACTTAACCGACTGAGCCACCCACGCACCCTGTATAGTGGTCTTATACACACTTAACTTGCTAAACTCTCTTTCTTGTTTTTGTTATAACAATTTTTAAAAAAAGATTTTATTTATTTGAGACAGAGAGACAGAGCATAAGCATGAGCAGGGGAGAGGAAGAAGAGGGAGAGGGAGGAGCAGACTTCTGCAGGGAACCATCCCAGGACCCAGAGATCACGACCTGAGCCAAAGGCAGACCCTCAACGACTGAGCCACCCAGGCACCCCTTGTTATAACAATTTATCTGTGATTTTTTTCTTTTCTGATAGACAATTGTGTCATCTGTAAATGAGCTTAGTTTCTTTTGTTCCAAATTTTATTCCTTTCCTTTCTTTTTCTTGCCCTCTATGCTGGCTAGGATCCTACCGCAGTGCTGAGCAGCAATGTGATGACGGGTATTCTTGTCTTTTCTTTCTTTTTTTTAAATGAAAAAGCACCAGTGCAGTTTATTTTAATGCTTCTATTCACAAGAATGGTATCCTTGTCTCTGATTTTAGAGGGAGTACATCTTATTGAAATTGATTTTTGGCTGTAAGTGTTTAAAGGGCACATTTTATCAGGTTAAGGAAGATTTCTTCTATTCCTAACTGCCAAGGCTTTGGTTTTACAATAAGTGGGTATTGAATTTTATTCTATGCTTTTTTACTTTTACGGAGGTGGTTATGTTTCTCCTTTAATATGTTACTGAGGGAAATTAAATGTAAAGATTTTTCTCCTGTTAAGCCAGCCTGGTATTCATAGGATGAATCCAACTTTGTCATGACAGATTATGTGTTTCATACACTGCATAGCAAATCAACCCCAGACTTGGTGGCTTAAAACAACGTGTTTTCCTTCTCACTATTCTGTGGGTAGGTAATTTGGATTGAGCTCAGTGGAATGTCCTGCCGATTTCACCTGGACTCACATGGCGGCAGGTGTCTGGTGGCTTGAGTAGGGCGGGCGGCCAAGGCTGGCCATATTCACACCTGTCGATTGTCCGGCTGAAAGCTGTGATGCCTTTGTTCTCATCCACATGGCCTCTCTAGAGGCTGGCTTAGGCGTGTTCATGTGGAAATAGCAGTCCAAGTGGACAAAAGTGCAAGCTTTAGGGTTTCTTCTTCTTCTTTTTTTTTTTTTTTGATTTTATTTATTTATTTGAGAGAGAGAGAGAGCGAGAGGGCATGAGCCTGGGTGGGAGGGACAGAGGGAGAGGGACAAGCAGACTCCCTGCCGAGCG